GCTGCTTGTTTAAGTGAAAATACACTGATGGATTTTTGCACTAATAAAGTTGTGGAGTTGTAAAGTGTTTTGCGTCACTTATGTCGTCAGTTATATCGTTATCGCTAAGTTTCAAATGTATATCGTGATAAATATTTTTGGCTGTAGTGGATGGATAATTTATTTTTCTTGTTTTTTTAGATTTTAACTTTTATTGAACTTGTTCTCGTGAACTTTGGAACAGCGTGCGTCGTTCATAATGTACAGCACAATACGCCACACTCAGTTTATTTTTTGGATGTAAATTTGTCATAGTACAGAACAGAGTACAAACATAGTTCATAAAATTGTAATAAGATTGAAAAGTATTTGGTGTGAGTATCTTTATGCTTGAACACAGCCTGAGCTCTCTTCAGGAGCTTAATATAATTTCTTTTAGTCTATACAAATGATACTTTAGGCTTTTTAAAGGACATTCAAAGCTCTAATTTGGATGTTTCTGCCTTTTGCTCTGTTCTCTGGCAAGATGATCCCCACTTCAATGATGTTTAGATCCAGGCTCTGGGGAGACAAATCCATGACTGATCGTTCCTTTGTAAGTTTGTCTGTCTAGGTATGCTTTTCTTGCATTGGCAGTGTGTTTGAGATCATTGTCATGCTGAAAAAAATGAAGCTGTTTCCAGCCAGATCCTCTCCAGGTGGTATTGCACGGTGGATCTGCATTTATAATTTCATCAATTTTCACGAGAGTCCCAACATCACTGACTGAGATCAACCCAAACCCTGACCTGTAATCCACATACCGCTGTACCACGCTGCTGACCTCTCCGTTCACGGGTGGTTCTCACGAAGATCAAAATATAAAGATTCTCTCTCTTATTTAAGCGATTCTGTAAACCTGCCATACAGTTTGATAAAAGTATTATTATAAAACAGTTTCATGGACTTTTTATTCTCATTTAATGGCATGATCCAAAAATGAATCTCATTACTGACAAACTGAGACCATTAATTAGGAAAAGATTTTTAAAAGATCTTTTCTGATTTACCTAAATAAATGAAAATTAATGAAAATTAATGATTTATATATTTCTCATGACCGACACACAAACATGTAAATGTTGAGATCATTTTTTAATTAATGTTATTGTTCACAAAACACCAACAGGGCAACGATTAAATGGTAAATGGCCTGTATTTATATAGCGCTTTACTAGTCCCTAAGGACCCCAAAGCGCTTTACATATCCAGTCATCCACCCATTCACACACTGGTGATGGCAGCTACATTGTAGCCACAGCCACCCTGGGGCGCACTGACAGAGGCGAGGCTGCCGGACACTGGCGCCACCGGGCCCTCTGATCACAGGCAACGGGTGAAGTGTCTTGCCCAAGGACACAACGGCCGAGACTGTCCAAGCCGGGGCTCGAACCGGCAATCTTCCGATTACAAGGCGAACTCCCAACTCTTGAGCCACGATCGCCCAGAAAGAAAGAAAATGTTTTGATAAATATGACAAATTCTTGTCTCTGGAAGATAAAACCTTTTAGAAATCTGCACATTTTCATGCATAGCAGTAATGAAAAGTCTCTTGTGGAGATAAGAATTATGGTAATGAAAATAATTGAGTTTACCCAATTGACTGAGAAAAGATGCAAGCAACAAAGAAAGTAAAAACAACTGAAAGACTGATGTTACTGTTATTACTGTTCAAAGTGATCATTCGTGTTTTTGAAGCACTTTGCCCAAATGTGTCCTGTACTCCTCGAGCAGCTCACGATCCATATACAGTCTTTCCCTTTGTTTCTGAAGCTAATCTAAAAATACAATATTAGTACGTTTGAAAAGTTTTAAACACAAAATCTCTTAACTGCTTTTAAAATGAAGCTTATATGCGGGTCGCATCTCCGCATTAAAGGTTCTCGTCACCTTTAAGATCCTTCTGAGTGCGTGTTAATGACAATCATGAGCAACGCTAATGAGACGCTCTCGGCTAAGTTCACAAATAAGCTGAATTGCTAGCATACTGCACAGCCTTGAACACTGCTTCATGCTGGAGCCTTACATTTTCTTTGTGATTATAAAAAATGTTTGTTATATTTAGAAAAGTATGGAGTATAATCCCATATGGGTAATGATAATGGGCAGAGTCACAGACGGGAGATGCAGTAACAAGAATATCAAAGCGAGAGAAGAGAGAACAGTTTGAATCTTCTATGTGAAAACTTGCTGTTGGCCTGGTCGGAGCAGGTGAAGTCGCATCATGCTAATAAGAAACATTTAGTCATTTTTAATAAATTCAAATGTTTCATTTTGTTAAACACAATATATTTTAATATTAAACATAATTATAGACATTTTTATATATGTTGGCAAAATTTTATTTATTTTAGACGATAAGGAATTTTTATGACATTAACAAAAATGTTAGAAAGGTGGATCCGGGCGCATATCGGTAATGAGAATTCACTGAGGGAATTCACAAGGAATTTTGGCCGGACAACCCTGATCTCCAAGGACCCCCAGAAGGGACCATTCCCATCCAACTATCGGCGAGTAACCTGCGTCAGTACCACGTGGAAGCTCCTTTCAGGCATCATAGTGGCTAAGATCAGGCACATGACTCAATACATGAGTGGGGCACAGAAAGGAATTAGCAAGAATACCAGTGGAGCGAAACACCAGCTACTGGTAGACAGAACAGTCAGCCGAGACTGCAAGACCAGACTGACCAACCTGTGCACTGCCTGGATTGATTACAAGAAGGCCTATGACTCAATGCCCCACACATGGATCCTGGAATACCCAGAACTATACAAGATCAACGGGACCCTGAGAGCCTTCATCAGGAACTCAATGAGGATGTGGCGGCCAACACTAGAGGACAACTTCAAGCCCATAGCACAAGTCACCATCAAGTGTGGGCGTTATCTAGGAGATGCTCTGTCCCCACTGCTGTTCTGCATAGGCCTGAACCCCCTCAGTGAGATCATTAACAAGACTGGCTACGGATACCGACTACGGAACGGAGCAGTTGTCAGCCACCTCCTGTACATGGATGACATCAAGCTGTATGCCAAGAGTGAACGAGACATGGATTCACTGGTTCACACCACCAGGATACACAGCAACAACATCGGCATGTCGTTCGCATTGGAGAAGTGTAGTTGGATGGTAATGAAGAGAGGGGAGGTAGTCAGAACTGAGAGGATCAAACTACCAGAAGGCAACATTGGAGACACTGAGGACAGCTACAAGTACCTGGGGATCCCACAGGCAAATGGAAACCACGAAGACCCTGTTAGGAAAGCTGCAACCACTAAGTACCTGCAGAGGGTCAGGCAGGTCCTGAGAAGTCAGTTGAACCGTAAGAACAATATCTGGGCTATCAACACCTACGCCCTGTCCATGATCAGGTCCCCTGCTGGGATAATAAGCTGGCCAAAGGAGGAGATAGAAGCCACTGACATCAACACAAGGAAGCTCCTGACCATGCAGGCTGTACGCTAAGCAAAAGGAAGGAGGCCGGGGGCTGGTGAGTGTCAGCACCACAGTCCAGGATGAGACAAACATCTGCTCAGTGAATACCTCAGGCAGCAGAAACCCAAGAAAGAGGAGCAAGAGGAGGAACCATCCTGGAAGGACAGGCCCCTGCACGATACGTACCACCAGCAGATAGAGGAGGCGGCTGACCTCCAGAAATCCTACCAGTGGCTGGACTGAAAGACGGCACAGAGGCAGCGCAGGCACACGCTCTGTTACGTAGGAATATTTTAAAAAATCTGTGTGTGTAGGGGATGCTCCCCCACATCAGCGCCTCCTGGGTAAGGTGTTCTCTCCTATTGGGAGAAGGCACTGGGGTACACCCAAAACACGCTGGAAAGATTATATCGGATTGCCTGGGAACAACTCAAGGTTTCCTTGGACACGCTAGTGGAGGTAGCGGGCAAGAGGGAGGCTTCCCTGCGTAGGCTGGTGTCCCTGCAACCTGACTTCAGATAAGCGCAAGAAAATTGATCAGTTTCAATTTATTAGTTTTTGGATATTTTTAATATCCAAAAAACGAATATATTTGTTATAGTTTAATCTTTTGTCGTAACATTTTTTCATATCATATTTAACATTAGTGCTGCACAGTTAAAAAAAAAAGTGGTGGCATCAGGGAAAGCAATCAGAAGCACTAAGATTTGCAAGTAATGTGATATTATAAGTAGAGTCTGGGAATACTATTAGTATGCGAGCTCATCTCAAGCACCACCATCCTGAGATAATGTTAGCTTAGGACACCAAAGCTAATGTTGATTCAACTCAGTTGAAAAACCAACCACCAATAGACACACTTAGCCTCGCAAAGCTACCTCCCAATTAGGAGTGAGCTACACAATCCATCATCTACTTTATGTGCAAACAGCTGTGTTTGACGTTGTTACAAAATGAAGGCTTTTTTCTGGTTTCTTCCTCATGACACTGGGACCCGGGTACCGACACTGTTTAAATGTTTTTCTCACAGCTGTCATAATCCTCTACACAGAAGTGAATGGTAAAGTTGAGTTATAGTACAGCTACAGCTGGTTGTATGAGCCATTGAAGAAAAGTGTTTAAATGAACTGATTCTTTTATAGCGCTTTTTTACTCTTTTACTTTTTCTTGGGATTATTAAACTATTCTGATTCTGATACTCTCTCATTCACCCATTCATACAAGCACTTCATCGATAGAAGTGCCTTCTATCTACCATTCACCAGAGGTGTGGACTCGAGTCACATGACTTGGACTCGAGTCAGACTCGAGTCATTAATTTTATGACTTTAGACTTGACTTGAAAAAATGTTCTAAGACTTGTGACTTGACTTGGACTTTTACACCAATGACCTGGGACTTGAATTGGACTTGAACCGGTTTACTTGAAAAGACTTGATATTTTACCCCAAATATAAAATTTAACATGCATATTATATAGAGATTGAAAATGTGACGTCATTCAGGGGTAAAACCGCAAAGGATTCTGGGAACTCGTGGCAGAGTTTCTGAGACCTTGTCACTGCAGCCGATCTTCTAACTAGTCTCCTCACTCCCTCACTCTGATTTTACAAACAGAGGTGATCATGCTTTTGAGGTTGTGGTGCCCAAACTGTGGAGCAGCCTTCCTCAGCCAATCAGGTCTGCAGATTTTGAGATTTGTTTGAAACAGCTGCTGAAAATGACTTTTTCTAGGTTAACGTTCATGTAATCTTTCTCTCTTATTTTCAGCCATAGTTTTTGACTGTTTGCATGTGTGTTGGAATGAATGTCTGACTGTATGGTCTATTATGCGTCTGTATGTTTGAACCACTGATGGTGATGGTGGCTGTAGCTCAGAGGTCGAGCCGGCCATCTACTAATCAGAAGGTGAGTGGTTCAAACTCTGTTCTAGTCTGCTTGGGCAAAATACTAACTCCAAGTTGGAATTTTCCCAAAGATGTTTCCTGCCATTATTAGTAGTTCATATCAAACTGATTTGTGTTCAGGGGGGTCTCCTTTCTCATAAATTTGATTTTATTTGTTGCTGTAAAATTTAGGTGCAACATCATCATGATATCAAGACTTTGACTGGCAGCTGCAGTCGCAGAGAAACTTGCGTATATTTGTTGGGAGCAGCAGATAAAGCAGGGACACTGAGAGGAGGTCCAGCTTTGACAAAAAGTCAAAGGGATTTATCATCCGTGTAACTGGTGTCAGTATACGGGAGCATAAAATACTTCAGTGTCATTCATATCAGAGTCATCAGAGAGAGTAATGTGCATATTTTATATGTATGTAACTTTGTACAGGACTGAATATAACATTTTTAAAAGTTGAGAGCCTCTTTGCATTATATGAGGATGATGTGAGTATTTCTAACATAACCAAAGGTCAGTATCACACTGTTCATGAGGTGCTGGGTTTGTCCATGTTATGGGGTGAGCCTATGGTTGAGGTCTGAAGTTGCTGATGAAGATTATGAGCCCTCCTTGATCCTTGCGGTGAGCTTCAGTCTTCCAGAAGTTTCTCAAATGATGTCTGTCAGTGAGTCAACACAACATCTGGTGCAGGACAGCTGTGATGAAGGAAAGGGTGGCCATTTCTCCAAACCTTGGTGCTGATGGTCTCCCTCATTAGTTTTCCACCAGGATAATTGTTAATAATAATGTGGACTCTGGATCCTGTTATTAAATTAATAGAACAAATTACACTTGTATGAAACCTCCTGCTGCTGTGTTTTCAATCTAACATTAAGTTTCCATGTTACCGGGCTGTAGAGTGCTCTGTGAGTGTAACGGATCTTAAACTCTTCAGTTTTATATCATCGTCCGGCTCGCGTCTCAAATCTCAACATTTAATTTCCAGATAATTCTGATATTAACAGTAACCTCTGTCTAAAATACGACAACAAAAACTAAGGAGTGCCCAATTATCCAAACATATAGACATGCTAATGGCTGATCTAGCTAAAGAATTAACAACAGGAACTACAGAGTGATATTAGACGTTGTAGAACTATAACAAATTAAGATGTGTGTCTGTCAGTCGTGGAAACCCCACTCAGCAGATGTCCTCAAAACTGGAGCAGCCAAGCTACGCAAAAAGTGTAGAGGGGGCGTATTCGCGTGCAAGTCCAGCGGGCGTGTGGGCGGGGTTTGACGCAACTCCACCTCAAGTCGATACTGCGCAGACTCTGGCTCCTAAAGTGGAACATGGCAGCCCCCACAAACTTTTCTACAGTTATTGGTTCACACATGTATACTTATCTTTAGTGTGTGGCTTATTTATTAGTTATTATTATTAATAACAAATAGTTATTATTACTAAAACAATAGCCAACTGGTACGTTTCTTTTTTCCTAACATTTCTAAATAAATGAAATCAAGATGCTGTTAGAGGGCATGTCATACAGAAACTTTGTAACCCTGAGCTAGGTGGAACCCTACGTGACCACATAATAATAAAGTATTCTGATGCTGATGATGTGAGATGACTGGATATGTACACGGGTGACTGTTTGGTAGAAGAATAATGAGGTCATGTGCAGTTCAGGTTGTACAGTTGAAACAGAAAGTTCAGTATCTTTTGGTCTGGCTAAGAGCCTGTCTGTAATTCCTTTATTCCAGGTATCATTTAACTGAAAACCAGTGTTTGAAGTAGATCACAGCTGTTCATATGTGCACCACTGTCATCTATGCAATATGCCCTGTGTCCTGATCTGCTAGTAAGTACTGTAGGCTTATAATAATGTCACTACATGATTGTTTTAACTATCATGCTAAAGCACTATGTATTTTACTGTGTTATCGTATTCATTAACATTAATCTGTTAGGGTGTGTTACCCACATTTGCTGAGTTTTACTGAGGCAGCTTTTTTTTCTCCTATGGAAATGTACATGTTCATTAAACCAGTAATATTCAGTGACACACACACACTCACACAAACCTGGAAAACGTTACTGTTTTAAATTTTTCTAAGGAAGCTCTCCCTATGGCAGTGCCATCCTCACCAGTCTAATATTTATCTCTTTTTTTGACTGTGTCATTCCTGCTTCGTCTTCTCTTTGTCTCTATGGCACCGCCAAGTGCTGAGAAAGAGAAGGGTATCTCCGACTGTAAAGTGCTCTTCCATTCCTTGCTTAAAGCACCCTGCAGTAGCAGCATGGTAATTCTGCTCCTCTATCTTTCCTCTGCATCATGTTTACCTAGCAACAAGCATCACCCGCGGCTGGCCATCCCATTGGTCATTTGAAAACGCACCGGGGACCAATAGCAGGGCTGTTGCCATGGTACAGTGTATAGTTGCCGGGTGGAATTTTGCTGCAAGGCACGTGAGACTCAAAGTCTGCTTGCCTCCATGCACTGCTGCTGTAATCTCCGCTGTCTGGTCGTTAGTACAGCTGAACGTGATTTAGTGGAAGACAGTAAGTCCATGAAGGGAAATACTAAAGTTTATTCACATATTTGGAAATATAGACACAGCAGTAGAGAAATAAAACACACACACAAAAAGAACAGTTCAGCAGGAAATGGACGCACATAATTATAGTGTACTTGAGCTGGATGTTAGTTTTAGAATTAATTATTTTACATCAAAGTCAAAATCAAAAATACTACGAGAGAAAATCTATATTAAAGCCAATTGTACCGGGTTACTACAGGTCAGGATACATTTTAAACTGCTATTCATCAAGTACCGATTAAAATCAAGCACAAAAAATGTGAAAAAGCAAGACTCTGAGAAAATACCATCTATGATCAAAACTCCTTGTACAAAGGAACTTAAATGAAACTAGTGCTTAATATACACCAGTATCCATGTAGTAATGAAGTCCTGAGTGTACAGTACTGTGCAAAAGTCATGAGCCACTCCACGTTTCTTTATATTTTGTTAGGAAAACGGGAAATAATGCTGCACTTACATGGAGATATAGTATGTACATACAGTTCTAACTAGCTTGAGCGTCAATATTTGGTATGACCAGGTTCACTCTTCAACACAACCTCTCTTTACTTCCTCTCACTGCTCTCTTCAGCAGCTTCCTGTAACTTCTTTAAATAGTTTTTGGGAATAGTTCCCGGGCGTCTTGAAGGACATTCAAATCTCTTTGGGTGTTTCTGTATTTGCTCTGTTGTTTGTCAAGAAGAGCCCACACTGCTTCAGTATTTCATTGTATGTTTCCAATTTCATTGTATGCTCATGCTTACAATGGCAGTAAAGCTCATCTTAGCGTATCTTATCTTATCCTGTTTTAATGATGAGGTCTGAGGGAACCCAATCCACGACTGATAGTGTTTCATTGTGATGTTTTCTATCCAACTATGCTTTTACTGCAATGGCAGTGTGTTTTGGATCATTGTCATGCTGAAAAACCAAACCATTTCCCGACTGAATCCGAATGCTTTTCTACATTTATACTTCCATCAATTTTGACAGGATCTCTAAAACCACTGAGTGACATGCACCCTAAACCATGACAGAGCTCACATTTGGACCTTTCCCTTGACCTCCTCATACATACTGATCTCAAGTTGAACTGATTATTACATTTGGATTCACCACTCCGTCAGACCTGTTCCCCTGATTTTTCAGTCCAGTTCTTGTGTAATTTGGCATACCTCAGTCTTTTCTTCCCATTTTTCTTCCTTAAAAATGGTTTCTTGACAGCAGCCCTTCTACTGAGACCATTCCTGATGAGGCTTCAGTGGATAGTAGATGCATCTCGCAGTCAAGGTTCATGTCTGTACTGGACTCCTTCCCTTGTCCACCTTCAGTTTTTTAAGGACACTGCAAACACTCTCTTAAGATATGATAGTTTTCAGCTAATAGCTTTTTGGGAATCACATTGCTACTTCAAAAATACCATTTAATGCCTATATTTGCATTTTTTAAATTGAGTCAACTAAAAGAATGAGAACAAATGATGAGTTTTTTGCAAAAGGCTGCTATTATAAAATTGCCTAAAGAGAACTATTAAAACTGGTTATTTGCTGAACTGTCTGTTATGTGTAGATTAGTAAATGCCTAAAAGTTAAGTACTTTTTTATGTTTCATGGGCCAGATATCAAGATGCAGTGTTGAAAGTGGTCAGGTACAAGTGTTGGACTAAAAACAAGTGAAAAAGAAGCCAATGTCCAAATAAAAACTCTGAAAGACCATCAGAAAGTAGAAGAAGTTTTGCTTAAGACCACTGTAAAAAAAATAACAAGTAACTCTGGCTCCTTGGACGATAAATATAAAGAAATGTGAGTCAAGACTTGTTGTATATAAATGTCATAGTTTAGATATTTGTATTAAATGTTTTTGTTTTGATAGTTTTGAAGGGTGGCGGACTGCATCGTGAGAGTAGAAATGTTATAAGCTCTGGGTTGTGCAATTCATTCTCCCAAAGGGCCACATAAAAACCCAGGTCTGTTGTGGAGTACCAATAAGATAAACTTGTTTATAATCAGTATTAATTTTTATCACCTACTGGTAAGAGTAGATGTTACAATTAAATTGTCATTAGTTGCTTCGCACATCGCCGTTAACATCATCACTGAATAATGGGCGTCGCCTCTCAGACAGTAACTCCCATCAGCAGTGCTACAGCAGGAGAAACACCTAAAACTGGAAGCAAGGAAACTGTTTACAGCTTGTTTTGTTTTTTTCCAAAAAATCTCAGATTTTCAGACTGTTGCAGCATATCTTTCTGTATAATCTGTGAATCTCTGATCTTTGCATTGATTATACAGTTGCGTGTTCAAATCAGTGGTAGCAGCACAGCATGACGGGTTACAAGCATTAAGAGGTGCATGACCTGCAAAGTGCTGCTAGTGACAGCAGATGTAACATCAGTTTGACGTCAACTTTGTCATAGTGCTGTTTGTCCTTGGCCAATGAAAATGTGAAATCAGCACAGCAAAAACCAACATATAATCAGTTTTCCTAAAATCAATTATGAACAAAATGTGCATGTGACTTTTAACTTTATATAAAGTGTTACTGCTATTTTAATTGTAATTCAGTTGCTTCATCTCTCATTTTGTTCAGTTCTTTCTCCTTATCCCCTGAGAGACATCTCTGATTTGGGCTTGAACTAGTTCATTAAAGTCAGGTTCAGGGTCTGAGCAAATGCACCATCGCCCTTCCACTCTGCATCTGGGAGATCTGGGATGTCCTTGCCTTACTTCTCACAAAACTCTTGTATCACTTTGGCTGAGCCACCAGATGTGTGGTAGCCTATGTCACCAGATGCTCAATAAACTGTCTATGATCATTGCTCTTGCCTAATGAAGTTAACTATTTTGATTTTAACATCAACACTATGCTATACAACATCTGCTGGTGTATGATAAATGCAAAAATACCTGTTTTCAGTTCTGGCTTCATTTTCTTGCACCTGCTTCAAACGTGTTTTGTTTCTATCAGATTTGGACAGCCATCGTTGTAACACCTGCCAGTTTGATCCATTTCAGCCCCAGCCTATCCGTAATATCAAACACTTTTGTAATCCCACATACAAAAATGAGAAACTGGGCTGTGTCTAAAATCTGAAAGTTCTCGTCCAGTGTCAAGGAGAAAGTCAAAACTGAAGATTTCCCACCTTCTCTGTCCACTTTGTTATGGTTCAGCTGAAGAGGGGCACGTTGTCTAATGCTCAGGGTTTATTTAGCAGTCTTTGAGTCACACAGTCTTTGATAAACTCCTCATCAGGAGGTTTTTTTGTTTGTTTGTTTGTTTTTACTTTTATGGAAATTATAATACACCTTTGTTGCTTTCATTTTGAAGGTCACATATAAGCAGAAACCATTTTCTGATGAGGAGTTTTTCAAAGAGTGTTGAATGTCCAGGTCTGCACTGTGGTAGGACGGTGAAAAGCTGTCTTTTTAATTGTTATGGATACATCTGGCTGTAAGGTATAAACCTTCCTTACTCATCGGTCTTTATTATAAATCCTGATCTGCCTCTTTTATTCACTGTTGGTTTTACAGCTTAGTTTGGGGCTTTTCTTATTTTTATTTCCAGCTTTAGATCCAGTGAGATTTCTGGCATTTGCACCCAAATATCAGCTTAATCATTGTTCAGGAGAAATTTGCTTTAGGTTAGATCATATTTACTAAAACCATCATACCCGCCAAACCACTGTCTTCCTGTAGAACTTTGGGGGCCTGCACTTTTCCCTTTGTAGCATGCTTTACATTGCACTGGTTCCTACACAGGCCCAGTCAACCTTAGCTGGGCATGAGTCATTTTTGAAGTAGAGCACCTGTAGCAATAAATCTTCATGTAATACCCTGTTGCCACTGTCTTGCATTTGTCTGTTATGCCTTTTATTTTCATTGATTTTTTTTTAAAATGCAAATTTGATTATTTAGCCAGGCTGTCTTAATTTAACTGTGATTGGTCTGCTGTTTTTCATCATGTGATTGTGAGGGAAATTGGACCCCAAGTGTTTTGGAGATGGCTGCAGTCAGAGGAACATTGCAAAGGCATAAATTGGAGACTTTCTGATACATTTGGTGTGAAATTTAGCTTGGTGTTCAAAACTAGAGTATCTGTCTGTTGTTGTAGCATGCCCTTCATAGGACTATATTAACAGCATTTGCCCATAAATGAATTACATACTGGAGCTAATAAGCTGTGTCATCTCAAAATAACAGAAATATAACACCAATACAACAATCAGGATGCAAAGTCCAACAGTAACCAGTAGACGTGACAGAAGATTCTGCCCTTTTCAAAGGGCACTACATTTAGAATGATGAAGCACTGGGAGGTGATTACACAAAGCTATTGTGGACTAGTTAGGCTGTTACTTTTTTAAAACCATATATATGACTTCATTCAACACCAGTTCGAGAGTCAGCCTGTATTTAAAACAAATCCTAAAAACTGATGAGCACTGACACATTTGTTGAGGCAGCTGAGTTTGAGGGTGATTTTAAAGCAAGGAGCTATCAGCTGGTTTCTAACACTGTGCTGTTCCCAGGCAGCATTGTGCTTGATTTAGCCAGAATGCTCGGATAGCAACAGGAACAACTTTTAGCTTTGGCTGGTTTGTAAAGACAAGTCAAACCTCTCAGCTGTAAAGTCACTCAGTGACCATGTGCTTATTGGAACCTTTTGCCCCTTTCTCTCCCCCGCTGTATTTCCACCCCCACCATTTCGGTCTGCCTGTCCTTCTTTCCATTTCTACCTGACATCTTCAAACTATTTCCGCGTCACCACTGCCTCGCACCGCGCCGTTAGAGGAGACCCAGGGAAACTAAGCCGACCGCCCCGCCCACAGAGCCGTTGCTACCCAATTACAGCAGGGGATGGGACTTTATGTAGCCAATTGCGTTGCAGCTGCCATGGCGTCGGGTAGCAACAGAGAGTGTGCGTGCAGAGTGAGGGTAGAGGCTACGACTGCCAGAGTACAGAGAAGTTAGAACATTTTGAAAGCCAGAACAAAAAGAGCCTTTGTGTGTTACACGGTAGCAACATAAACGTGGCATTTGGTTCATTTCTGACAACCGAATAACGCATTAATTAAACTGTCATTTACTCGTTTTTACGGTCTCACAGGCTGCTGTCCACCGAGAACAAACTAAGGTTGATGTAGTTTGAAGTGAAACAGAGCAGTAGAGATGATCTGTTTCACTCATTTTAACACTGTTAACACGGACTAATGTTATGTAAAACAGTCGTCCGTCAAAGCTGTCCCGTGTATACAATGTTCAATCGTTTTTCGATTTTCAGCGAACGTTGTCCATGTATGCCTGTGTATAAACTTCCAGTATATATATCCCGCTGTTACTATAAATGGACAGGACGGGAGAGGTTTGCTTGGAGCAGACTACTGCTGTCAGAGGGAAGGCAGCTGTACCGCTAACTCACTTGATTTGTTGATGCTGTTTCGTATAGTTATTTGAAATACTTTTGGTAGTTGATATGACAGTCTGTGTGGAACGTCCACAATGCCACGTGTTTAACCTGTGTTCGCAGCTCTGCTGGTATTAATAGTACTCGGTGTATCTGTGCCAGACACACCAGCCCCGGCCCCTGCCACCGGCACATGGTACAGTCCCTATCGCAGGGTGGGGGAGCGTGTGGGAGAGGCGCACAGATTCTGTCTAACGGAGAAGGAAACGGGCGAAAAACATGACTCACAATCGCCCCGGAGAAGGTTTCCACCTTGAAGGAATAAAACTATTTTTCCCGTTCTGAGAAGGACGAGTATACGAGGACAGTAAGCGCGAGAGAAGAAAGCGGAAGCAGACTGACGAGTGGGCCCGTCAAGAAGCGAAAGGCAGCAAGCTCAGGAACTCTGGAATTGGTTTCTTTTGTTTACTCCGAGGCGACTCTGAAGTTTTGGCTTGTTGCAGTTCAGTCGTTGTTTGCGATATTACTAGCGAGTAATTACCTCAGAGACTCGACCTCTTCCTGGACCGTGTTATTGTGCCGGTGTTTCGGAGTGTAACGCGGCCCGTCGTCGGCTTTTGTCTAACGCGGGGAACATTCGGCCCCAGCGCACAGACGCTGGAGCTATACTGCCTCTCGATATTTCCTCCGCTTCTGAATCGGAGCTGAAAGAGTTCCTCGGCTGAGGTGAAGTGTTCCCGTGCTGGTGGTTCGTCACTTTGCGCCAGCCGGCGGTCCCGTTGGCTCGTGAATGCTCAAGTACAGTTAGAGTAACTTTGTGTGGAGCTACACACCTCTGAAGCAACAAGGCGCACTGGATTGCGCAAAAAAGTGCTTCTTGTTAAGGCTGAGTGTATACTAATATTGTTTGGCTAATAAAAGGGCGCCTTTTTAGCCTGACAGAGGGCAGCCACCTCTTGCTGTAGGCTTTGAAGGGAAACGGCACAGGACTCCGTGGAGCTCAGGCTGAATATACTGTGTGACTTTCTCGGTGCAGGCTGTTTGTGTCACTGGATTAGTCTGAGTGATCACATCACTCTGTGCTGTCCTACTCTGTCTGGCAACGAGTCCCCCAGAAAGCACCAGTAATTGGGGCTATTTTTAGTGTCAGGGATGGGGTAAAAGCAGGCAGCTGGAAACCCAACTCCCCTCCATCTCCTTCTCTTCCATCCCATCTATCATCCTACCTCGCTCGTCCACCTGGCAGTATGCTTGGCGAGCCTGGTTAGCACAGGTTCCACTTACAGCTAGTTGAGGTGGCTTATAAGTAGTCTGGAAAAACAGCAACAACTAGACATACTCTGCTGCATAATAATAATAATAAAAGATGTGCTTGAACCATACTGACCATGTAGTCTAAGGAACCTGGCAAAACTAGCAGTCCTGTGCTCCACTAGTCAAATCTTCAGCGGACACAAAGCCCGTTCTGGATTGCTCCTGAAATGGCTGAAGAACTAGCTACTTACTTTTGGTTTATTCTGGCCAGGACTTACTGAACGTATCAAAGAGACTCTATGCCTTTATCCCTGGGACGTTTGGCCTCAACGCGTGATCGCAGTAGACACTAGATTCGATAAAACACTTGCTTTTGACTACCTGAAAGATCAGTCACCAGCGACCTGGAGTGATATACGCCTCCAGCGCACAGAAAGAATGCATGAAACTGCCAAAACCAACCTAACGAAAAACTGACCTGACTAACCAAATATTCTTTCCCTTCCACTCCCATGTCTGCAGAGAGACAGAATATATATCTATATGTACCATGAGAGATCTATATATAGTGTAACACCACAAAAGACAGAAATTACATCCTTTATATTTTTACTTCCGAGAGACAAGCTGCCTGTACACCATTTGGTTGCCTTAGAAACCACAGTCACAAAAGATTTAAAAAACATTTTTTTTAAAACAAGCCAGAGAAGACGGTGCCTTTTGATTGGTTGGTTGGTTGGTTTCCCACCACGTCAAGATTCCTTTTTTAGTTGGATGTAAACTTTTGAAGCAAACTCTGGGATTGATGACAGTTACCTGACCCGCACGAGTTCTGCTCGTCTGTCACAGCGTTTTGATTGACACTGTTTCCCTGCTGCGTTGGACATTTCCAAGCATTTCCATGGTTGTCACGTCATCATCTGTGGAAGACCAGACTGTGCCCACTTGCAGGATGGTCCAGTCGGAACCTTGGATCGCCTCAGCCCTGCTCCGCAAGAACAAGAGTTAGTACACACCAGAATATACACAATCCCACTGATTTCAAAACAGTGGAAACTCTTCTTTACTCACAGTATAGTAACCTGTGTGTGGTCATTTGTGATCATTTATATATACACAATGTTAGGACCATGTGTTGACTTTAAATTGTGCGTTGACTGTGTCAGGGTCCTGGCGTGTGACCCGAGCGTTCTAAAAGTGGCCACATGTCTGTCTACAGTCGGACCGTTAGCGTTTCGATGGGCTTAAAAAAGCAAATAAACAAAAAGAATGGTTTTGATGGGCCATAACTTTTCAGTTTCTATTTAGTAGTGTTCAGAAAGTGCAACAAATGGCTTTTGTTTTCTAGCACATGATCAGCATGAATTATAATTGCTCTGAGGTCTGTCTGTGCTTCTTGCAACACAACTGTGAGGACTAGGCCAGAGGGCCGGCTGATGTAGTGAATACATCTACTTGCATGAAGATTTCAGATGGGTCAGCGCTAAAGCATCTTAATACTTCTCATTGCTGTTTCTCCAGTCAGTGAGTTTATAACATTTTATTCACGAGCAAGTGCAAGTTGTTTCATGTTGTTGTTTCCTGTGTTTGATCCACCGTTCCACTCCTGCCAAATACTCTGCACCTGAGTGGACTTGAGTTATGTGTTCACACAGGTCAGTGTTTCTCTCAGTGGGTTGTTGTTGTTGTTGTTGTTGTAAGAACAACATCTATATCACACGTGTTTGATGGTAAATCTAGAGTCCTTGCAGTGGATTACCTCTGGGTTGAGATTAAACATGCCAAAGTTTGGCCTTGATGTTCTTAGGCTCAGTAGTCCATGTATACCTGATGTTTAGCAAAGATTGGTTAGTCAGACCTTTAATAGTAATGAGCAACACCACGTGAGACAGTCTGGACCTAGTGTGCCTTTAGGACTTTGTTAAACCAAATGACAATGAAAGGTTACCTGGTTCAAATGCGACTGTGTAATTACACAGACGCACACACACAGATGCACACAGAGACACACACACACAAAAGCAAATGCTTCTACTTGATCTATGCTGGTGCAGGGAACCTATGTATAGCCTTTAATGTAGCCTACACAAGTATCTCTGTCTACTGCTAGCAGTTATATGTATGCTAGCTGCCTGACGTTGGCCTGTAGTTGGATTTCTGCTTTTAGTTGTTATATACATATATATAAAATTCCCCACTCGCCCCTGCGGGCAGTCAATCCTTCAAGCTCGGGTCCTCTACCACAGCCTGGGAGCTTGAGGGTCCTGCACAGTATCTTAGCTGTTCCTATATATATATATATATATATATATATATATATTACAGCATTTAAAGGAAAGCTGTGATATGTTTGACAGTATAGAAAACAAATACTGATGTTTTGTTATTAACTGCAGCTTGGCGCAGCTGTATTTTTAAGTGCAAACAGAACTGCATTTTCCATCCTTCTTTTCCAGCAGCTACTGACATTGACAACAAAGGAAATTTTAAAGGAAAAGTATATCCCGCCATTTTAGTTTAACAATAACTAACTTCACTCTGTAACTCTTCAAGAATCTGCACAATAAGATTACAATTAAAACATATCTTCAGGCTTTGATTCTGTATTTTGGGTCAAGTTATTTAACGAGCTGCTTTTGCACCATGTAACTACATCATCACGCTGTTTGCTCCTCCTGTCATATGGAGGGCAGCTAGCTGAAATGTTGCAGCGATGCTTGGTGGAGTTGTTTGCTTTTGGTTTGCACATCAGCAGCTGCCATGATCTCTTCCTTGCACGCTGCCATAGCCAGGCTGTACTCGATAGTGTGTGTTTGAGTCACATGGTTTGTTACTTTTTTGCATATTTTTCCAAGTATTGTGAGATTGTTCAAGAAGCTCAGTTTTGATTGACTAAATGCTCACTGGAGACGGACACGTTTCTGTCTCTCAGTAATATCTTAGCTTGTGCCGTTGTGTGCGCTACGAAATGTAACTGGATGCCGTTGCTTGCTATTATATTGTGTTTTGACATGTTTATATCACCTAAAATGTGTCCTGGTATTATGACAGGCGATATCTGACACACAATACAGAGGTACAAACAGGCCGGTATCCTACAGAGAAAAGCTCAACACTTGGAGAGGCCATTTGGAAGTGAGGGCACGGCTGCCCATAGACGAGGATCAAAGTTTACAAATTGAACTCAAGTCAAAATAATAAGCAGACTTTTGGAAAAGATGTGATTAGTGTTTAGGACAGTGTTTTAGCTTCCTCCCACAGTGCAGACATCTGTTAGCTTCATTGGTGATTCTAATCAACTGTACTCGTGAATGCAACGTGCATAAAGCACTGATGTGCGTGAGATTATTAACATGGGTAATGAGCTAAATGTGGCATGCAGTTAGTTTGCATGGTCAGACTACAAACGCACATAAATGAAATAACAATGTGTGCTTACAAAACTGGCACAACGTAAAACAGCCAAAGTGAGCTAAAAACTTGGAGTGGAAGCGTCTTCCTTTAGTCTGTGTCAAACTGATCAGCATGGCCATGATGATCATGTTTACTGAGGCTGGGATGTCTGCGTAACATCAACTGTTGTTTGTGTTGGAAGTTCTCTGAAATCTTCCTGTGCAAATATCACCCACTTTACAACAATAAAAGAAATTCAGCCCACATTGAAACAAATTAAAATGACAGTGCAACAAGCAAAGTCACACCAGAAACTAACCAAACGTATTCTGAATAGGTCAAATCAAAAAACCTACAGTTCTACGATGCTAAGAGAGCAGTAGTAGAGGGGAGTCTGATGGGGGTGTACTAGACCACATTTCAAAGCATTTGTAACATTATTTTTCAGTTTTAAAGCTAAATGAAATCAAATATTAATAAAACTGTGTTAGTGTTTTCCAATATAAATAGAAAAGTTTTTTGGCAGGTCAGTAGAACTCTGGGGCACCTGGTGCTCTTATGTTGGACACTGAATTACAATTCCCATTCATCCTGAGCATCTAACATCTTGTTTGCAGCAGCACAACATTTAGCATCACAGTGTAAGCTCTAGCTAATACGCTCACTTTTCTTTGTTGTAGCCTAACGTACTCTTTTAAAATTACTCATTCACTAATACACTTCAAGGTGCAGACACACACATGAAACCTACCTCATCTAGAAGATACAATGCTATCATCAAAGGGTTTGGTGGGTTTTTGACAGATGTGCATTAAACCATTAAAACATGTCCATGTCTGAAATGGAAATCCATGAGCAAAAAAACGACAACATCCTAGCTAGAAATGATTTTTCACTTTTATTGTATCATGTATGATTGTGTATTTTGTAACAATACTGAAGCATTACAAGGAGGAAGTTACTTTATTGTTAAATTAAAGTCTTAATTAGTAATTTAATACGTTTGCTGGAAATTTCCAGGGCGAAATCCATCCAACCTGCTTTTGTGCTTACATTCAGCTAAGACTGTGTCACTATCATGTTGCTGCTGCTTATTTCAGTAGGTTCATGATTCAAACCTGGCAGTGTGTCATCAGTGACAGTAACTCATTACAAAATGAGTTATATTAACGTGCACTTGTAAATGCAAGCTGCACGCATCAATAAAACAAGTTGTTGCAAACTTTTCCTGAAAACTCGTGGTTTTATTTTGAGGCCATATGGCTCACACCTAATGTCCAGTGTCTTAATCAGGGTTCAAGGTTGCTCGTTAGTGTCTTTGTGTTGCTATTCGGCTGCACAGAGTGAAAGATTCTGAGTGTGCAGTGTGCCATTCCAGGGGATTGACAGCATAGTTGACGTGGGGAAAGGACAGAATGTGGCTGCAGTAGACGCAGCTTTGTGTGCGTGTTACAACTTCAGTCTTCTCCAGCCAGCTGAAGGACCAACAAGAGCAAAAGCAAGAGGAGCCCACAGAGCGTGTTAGTGACAGAAAACAACCTGCTGTCTGTCCTTTCTCCACAGGACTGACAACCATGCAGGTGCCTTTACTAAACTGCTGGGCCGTCATTTAATGTTCACATTGATTCATAGAGTCTCTGAAAACCACCAGAGGAGTGCAACACTATCCTTTCTAAACATACTCTTTCATTTGTTTTCCTTTTTTTTGCATGTTTTTTGCAGATGGAGCTAAAAAGCATCATCCAACACATGGAACCAAAATGAAAGACTAGGGTGCTCTGCCTTTTAGATTGAATCCTCATTTAACTGATGTCGTCATAGTTTTGGTTTCTGTGTAAAATTCCGTGTTTGAAATTGTTGAAAAATAGTTTCTTGTCAATATCTTTTGATTGAAAAATGATCATTGGACTGGTGCTTTCATGAAAGCCTCACTGACCCAGTCACATTCATACATGCACTTTTCTGTCTAATGTTCACAAACACACTCATGTTCCAGCTGATGCATCTCGGGTCATCAGCTACCTTTTCAAACTCACTACATGCTGGTGCTTCTTGACTACAGTGCGCTGTTGTCCCAAACAACAGGTGCAGAGCGACTGTGTGGAACATTCCAAGGATTTCATGGACCTGTTTGCTCAGAGCAGTAGCTGTGTTTCTTTGTAATTATCTGTTGTGTATGGAGTGCCTGTAGGACTACTTCAGGAACCAGCTGTGTCACTTATGTAAAGCATTCACAGAATTGAAATCCATAACTCTTGTTGTGCTAGTGGCACACACAGTAGGTGTAACAGTCTGCCATCTGCTGGCATGTTACAGCAGCATTTGTGGGCTGCTGCAAAACCCATGCCCAGTTGATAGTTCGGAGGTTTGTACTAGAGGATTGATGTTACCGTCGAACATTTAAAAAGACAGACATTTGTTTGCTTTGTTGCTGCTGCGGCGCTTACTCTTAAAAAAGAACTTATGGCTACAGACAGAACGGCTTGAATCAGAGTTGAGTGTTGTGACATTGCTGAGGACCAGTAGCACATTTGCTTCAGACTGGTCATGACCACAGTACAGGTAAGGGCCAAGTATTGATATTTATCCAGAGATTCTAATTCCTCATCGA